TAAAAGTAAAACAACTTCTAAACAAGGAAGTAGCCATATGCAGAATATTCTACACCTACAAGCAAGTGTTATATCATCTCGTACGGGCTGTCCTTTTTTCTGCACGCATATTATTATTCTTTCAAGCATGGGATTGAGCTCTTTTACTACACACCTGGAAGTCTTTTACGTGCACAAATATAAGGATATGCCAGAAAACGGTTAGGCAGTGAAAAATTTGGCTCGGGAGTTTGTTAGTATACCATCTTACTACAACAGCATCTAGCCCACTGGTGAGCGGCCATTCTCTTGGCTCCCATCGAGTTGCCAGATACAGCCGTTTGAATGAATCATACTGAAAACAGTGGCGTTATTTCTTAGACCAACTGTACACATCTCATAACAATCTCTCCTCATACTCCAAATCCAGTTACTCCTGACACTTCTCATTTCCAAAAAAATCCAATCCACTTTATCTCCAAGTTTAAACCTCCCTCCATCAATCATCAGCATCTTTCAATGCAATTATTAAGTTCCCCAAAAAACTGCCTTTTCCATTATCTTCTACTCATAACATTCCAGATCCACCTGACTACACCCCTCACTCTGTACAAAATTTTTCTCTCCACCTTTAAATTTTATTTTGCACAAAACCAGAACATCAATCTTCCTTACAAGTCCTAACTTCATTTACTATCTTCTTGTAATTTCACCCATACCCATTTGCATACCCCAATCTTCTCTGTTCTTTCTTCTTAATATCAATAGAATACAGGAGGGGTGAAGATTCATCAATAGAGAGCAGGTGATATACTACCTTGCCACAAGTACAGAAATTAAATTTTTTTACACAGAAACACATTAATCTTGGATAAATTTACAAGTTTTTGCAACTCTGGCTCAAAATTATAAATTTAACAATGTAAAACAAATTAAAATAAATACAGATTGTTTTTGACAGTAAATAATAAAATTATAAAATAAATGACAGAAGAAAAGACATTAAAAAATCTAAACAAATAATCATTTATAATCAGCAATATGGTATAACAAAACTATTTCAAGTTGTGATTGTAATGACTGAAAGTAAACTCAGTTATTACAAATAATTTCCCACATTATTGATACTGCATGAAATCCCACAGTAGTGTTCAAGTATGGCTATCACACTACAGTAATTCAAACATTACAGTAATTACCTTAATATAAAAGAACTTATAAAAACATACAACTGCTATAAAAAAAATTTTTTTAGCTGTATCACTTAACATGACACACCAGACTCACTAAGCCTGTCACAAGTTGAAGTGTTGAGACAACTACTGCATGTTGCAACTTCCTAATAATGTGGAGAAAGACATTTACAGGACAATTCAACAACTCTTGGTGATAAAACTTGTTTTCGCATCACACATAAACTTCAATCATGTAAAAATTAACACAAAATATCATTCAATAGTTTTATTTTAAAAATGTTATATTCTATAAAAACAATAGAAAATTTCTTAAAAAATAAAAGATATCTTACCACTTTGAAATGTAAACTTTCAGGATAAATCCCGAAGGAGCATCACATCTATAAATCAAGTTTAATATGTTTATGTATGACAGAATTGCAGTGTTCCTCCTGCCTATGTGCCTTCTTATTATATGAAAGGTACATATAATCCACAAGCCATAAAATATACATTATTTTTCCCAATATGAAAAAAATAAATAACTTTTATTTTAAAGAAGAGGTATACAGTATAACCTCGGAAATCTAGAAAACAGTTACTATATCTGTAATCTCAGAAAACTGGCACCTTTGAAAATATAAATGACACAACTTTGAAAGTTCCATCATCTGCACTTATTGTATATGGTCTTCAGGTCTTTTGTATGATAGGAATTGCACCCAAATCAATATTTAAATTAAAACATTTAGTATGTTTAATATATAGTCATGGAAATTTATGCACTAATTGTCCATGATTCAGCTGCAAACAAAGGCATGTTTGGTAATTAAATATACAGTCAACCCTCACTTTACGCGGTCCCACATTCCGCGTTTACGCAATACCCTGCCGGAACCCAGGATGCTCACATTCCGCGGTGCGTGTACCCCTTTACGCGGAGTGTGTCTGGCTCGACGCTATTTTTAGATTCGCCCCACCCGCCTGGGCAAGCCGCGCGGTAAGGTTGCGCAGTGCATATGTCTGTTGCGTTATCAGTGACGTCATATGACGTATCGGACTGTGATTGGCCATGCATCCCTACCTCCCTCCGCTGCTAGCTGTAATTGGTTTAAAGTAATATGACGTGTCCACCTGGGGGAGGGAGGAAAGACGACGCTTGACCTAGCCGCGGCAGTTTCATCCCTCCAGGCCACACCGTGTAATCGTGCATCCATTGTTCTGTAAAATGGCTTCCGCCGAACCACCGCCACCAGAGAGAAACCTTTCCTTACCTGGACCCAGCCGCCCTAAGCCCAAGAAGACACGACGTTCCTTAAGCTACGAGGTGAAGTACAAGATCATCCAAGAGTTAGAGAAAGGAACAAGACAGGTTGATTTGGCACGCCAGCATGGTGTGAACGAATCTACGATCCGGACGATAAAGAAGGATGCAGCCAAGATAAAGGAGCACATGAAGATCACAAAGTCTACAGGTGCTTCTATGATCAAGTATTTCCACAACCAGGTGCTTCTCAAGACGGAAAAATTACTTGTGAGCTACTTGGTGCGTCAGGCGCGACGGAACATGGCAGTCGACACGCGCTCTGTTAGGAGTACGCACGTGAACTGTATGCTGCAGTGTCACGAAAGATGGGAACTACAGAGCCCAAACCCTTTAATGCTTCCTCTGGGTGGTTACAAAGGTTTAAGATGCGGAACAAGATCACCAATAGAAACATTGGTGGTGAAGAAGCTAGTGCTGACCGTGCTGCGGCTAGGGAATTTCCTCCGTTTTTACGCGAGATTATGGAGGAAGGACAGTACTCCGACGACCAGGTGTTTAACATGGACAAATCTGGTCTTTTTTGGATAAAGCTTCCTTCCAAGACCTTAGTTGTGAAGAATGCCAGCAAGATTCGGGGCCGGAAGTTGCAGAAGGAGCGCATCACCGTCCTGTTTACCACCAATGCCTCCGGTACCTGTAAGCTCAAGTTATCGGTGATCCACACAGCCCGCAAGCCGCACGCCTACAAGAGCATGGACATGACCAAGCTAAATGTCCACTGGCTGACCGCACGTAAGGCGTGGATGTTCTCTACACTGTCCCTCTCCTGGTTTGATGACCGTTTCGTTCCTGATGTGAAGAAATTCTGTGAGCAACAGAATGTGCCATTCAAGATTTTGTTGCAGCTGGACAACGCACCAGGACACTCGCCCTTACTGTTAGATCGTCACCCCAACGTAAAAGTGGTCTTCCTTCCTCCCAACACTACGTCTATATTACATCCCATGGACCAAGAGTTAATCTGTAATGTAAAAGCTGCATTCTCAACAAAAAAATTCCAGCTCCTGAACGACTACACCAACACCAGGGAAGAGTTGCGTAACCTGAGTGACACCACCACCGATAGCAAGAGCGAAGACGACTAGGATCAACAGTTGGCAGAGCAAAAAATACTTTTCAAACAATTCTGGAGAAAATTCAACATCAAGAAAGCTGTGGACTTCTTGGTGGAGGCATGGGATCAGCTGTCTGTAGCAACTGTTCGTCATGCATGGAGACATATGTTGCAAGGCATTCCGGGCGTTAGGCAGAGTCAATCTGTGACTGGTGAGGTTCAGACTGTTGCAGTAGCAGTGGACCTTGCCAGAGAAGCTGCGCAGTGTTACAGCTGCAGGCTTCTCCGAGACCACCAACGACGACATCCTGGAGGTGATAAGGGATCCTGATGTGACTACCGACGAGATGGTAGATGATGATGACGTCAGTGAAGAGGTAGGTGGTGCGTCATCCCAAGAAGAACACCGCTTATCCCATAGTAATGTTAGGGGTGCCATCGAGTGTGTTGAGAAAATCAAGCTCCTCCTTTCCGACGACCCTGACGCAAACAGGTATGAAATCTTCACTACTCAGCTGTTGCAGACTATGGAGCCCTACTTCAAGGTTTATCACAACATAAACACCAGCCGTCAGCAAAGCATAACAGAGTTCTTCGCCCGCAACCTACCACAGCCAGCCCAAGCCAGTGATAGTGACAGAGGTAGACAGAGAAGATGACTTTGAGGGATTTGTCAGGGAGGCCCTGACAAGTGTGGATGACAGTGATGGTGACTCACCTGAGGGCCAGTAGCCTGCCCTTTGCCTCGGAACCAGCCTCCATCCCCGTATGCTGACCCATCTCTTCTACTAACGTAAGTGTTCAACCTAACTTTTAGTTTTCCTAACTTAACCTTTATTTTTCCTAACCCAACCTCTTCTATATTAATTGTTTGTGCATACAATCATAAAGTTAAGATAAAATTTTTACTATAACATAGTTGTGTGTCGTCAAAAAGTGGAGTTTGGGGGTCGGCCCGGTCTCTATTTCAATTAATCCCATATGTTATGTTGTTCACTTTACGCGTTTCTCACTTTCCGCGGTACCCTGGGGTTATATTAACCGCATAAAGTGAGGGTTGACTGTAATGGTATTCTGCATGAAAGTGCCAGGCCTGAGTATCTTTGTCTTTAGCCACTCATTAGGCAGTAAATCAGATCCAAATCAGGTGGGCTCTGGAATTGTACATATTTTAACCTGCCTCATGTTTATTCAATCATCTATCATACGTTTATTGCTTATGATTATGAGCAGTTCATGTTTAAAAAAATAATAATAATTTTCACATGTATGTTTATAAATACTGTTCAGTATATCTAAAACTCAAAGTTCGTTTAAAATACTGACCATTCAATCATCACTTTTCAAGATTTAAAGAAATACATCAGTAAGTGTGCTGATCTTTGTAGGCCAGCCATGTCATCTGTTTGTTTGTTATCATATACAATATCAAGAGCAGGAAATTAAATATAAAAAAAATTGTAAAAGTGATACAGTATTTATCAAATATTGCATGAATCAAGGGACCAAGTAAATTACAAGGAAATCGAAATTGGGACTACAGGAAAGTTGACCAATTTGTTAACTTTGTAGAAGTGTGACCAAGTGCCATTGAAAAAGGCATCAGACCATGACTGCAATGCTTTGGAAACAGTGAACATTAAATTTAGTGGTGCACAGCCGTGAGTAATTTTCTTACCCATATCACAAATATAATATGTTATTTCACTAATTAAAAATGAGAATTTGCCATAGTATGTCTATTTCACATTATTTGTATGTGATAAGACTACAGTTTCCTAAGAGATTCATTATTTATAATAACCAATTCTAAGAGTGATTGTTAGAAGGAAATTACTTATAATAATTCTCTGACTGAGTACAAAAAGGACCTATGTAAAAATTTTCAATTTAAACAATGGCCCTTTTTGCACTCGGCCAGAGAAGTGGGAACCAATATACCTTCACAGTTTCTAGGAGCACTCTGAGAGGAATATATTTCTTCAGAAAATAAATAATTTACAATTCTGGTTCCCTGCTGGTCCCAACAGCGCCGTATTTCTGAGGTATACAGTACTGAACTGTTCACTAAACTGAAATCTACAATATGTTGTGTAGCCAAACTGAAAAATTGTATTTAAAAAATACTGGCTACTAAAGATTACAATTCATGTTTTGCAACCTGGTAAGACAATTAATTGATACTCTCTTGAAAACTGCTGCAATATAAGTTTTGTACTGTTAAGAAAACTAATTGGTGATAATTTTAAGAAATTTTAAAGAACTATCTGCTAAATATCTTTCAAAATGGTATTCTGATAAGAAGACTTATCTGGAAATTGTAAAAATAATTAAATACACCCTGTATAACTGAATAATTATATAAATTCTTTACAATACATGCCAATAGACAACATCCCTGCACAGTTTAACTCTGGTTCCTGCCATTCACTTTGAGTTCATCGTACCACATGTACTTAAACACTAGACCAAATGTAAAGAAGTGAGAATTATAACAAGTGACGGGTCAAATGGACCCCATGCCCAATAAGCCCATCTTAAAGGTTAGGTTTGGTTGAGGCATATTAGAACTAAAGCCAATTTGACCAGTGACTTTACAATATCCCAAGAATCACTTTCTCACAATCTTAGGGATTCATTCTCAAAATATATCCAGCAATTAACTTCAAAGAATGAGACCTCTTGAAGAACAACAAGACACACACGACCAAGAGCTGCGCTGTAACAATGTGGCTTGTACATTTACTTAAACTTGCCAGTATTTATAGGGAACGTGTACAGGATTTATCTTTGGCTGATACAGCGTACTACTGTACTGTTTTTCTGAGCTTAAGTCCCTTTATGTTTCATGTCATAATTCCAATAATTACCAACACAAAGCACTTAAATACTGTTTATAATTCTTTTAAAGGAGTAATTATTTCATACATGCTGTGAATATATTAACATGGGATATCTGCAGTTCTTCAAGAATATAAAAAAGGCTTCATTCTCAGCCTTGAATATTAAAAAGGAAACAAGAAAACATCTCCTACTCTGTAGATTTCTTCAGGAAATACCCCCATACTCATCACAAGTTCAATACACATTCATGAGCTGTCATTCAAAATAAAATATGTATAGTGGAGTGGAATACAGAAAATAAGTAAACTCCTTTTCAAACAATTAGTCAATCTAGTTCTTTGGAATTCAGCCTTCCTCACAGTTAAGTGGTGATCTCACCTTGATTTCAAAAACCATACAGAGAGATGTTGGGTAAAAATTTTCCAATGATCTTCCTCACTTAATCACATATTTAAGGACATGCAGTTTCCAAAAGCACTACTCATATATTCAATTACTTTGTAAAAAGTCAGGTAAGTTTCGGACGAAAACATCCAGTGGATCATCACTTTCGGGAACAAACACTAACAGGTCCCTAAGGCATCCATCCCATCACACTGTTATATGGCTTTGCGGTGATACTCAGGAGGTGCCACCCCATAATCTTGGATACTGTAATAAGTCTCCATGTTCTTCACCGTAAATCTACAAGAGAAAATATTCAGATAAGAAAAGAAAACAAATTCTATAAATTGTCTATTAAACTTTAGGACATTTTCTGTGAGAAGATGATACTGTGCAATATCTCCCATCTGATCTGGCAGATGTTTTGTAAATGGTAGAAACAGGAAGATGTATGTATGATTTTATTTCATAAGTACAGTACAGGTACTGTAAATCAAATCATAAAATACTGTAAACAATATATCATACCTCAAGAAGTCTTGAAGGTGGAAATTCAGTAATGTAACACTCTTCTCATCCAACTGTGTGTATGCCAACATTTGTCCTAATCGCACTGTTTAAGAATATAAAACAATTATAGCTTTAAAAAACATGACAAAATGACAGCAAATTCCACCGTCCCCAACCTAACTCAAATAACTGGTTACACCCAATTTTTACAACCTTAAGCATAACTCCTGACTAGTACAATCAAATCCAAATTTAGTGAGGCAATAACTTAAGAACACTAATGAACACTCACACTACCAATTTCATAATTTACTAAAAGTATATACAGTATTAAGGAGATTGAAAAAGAAAAGATCACTCACACATAAACAGTGGTAACTCCTATATACCACCAAAGATTAACCCATAAACAGTGACTAAGGACTCCTTACTCTGCAACCATCTGGGCAAAAATGGATTGCAAAGAACATGAAATGGTAATTTTATCTCACCATTCTGAGTACAATATACATAGATAATACAATTCTCACTGACCATCCAACTGAGTCTGTTTGACTTTACCATACAATGATAAGCAACTCACCAAATAACCTAATAAGGTGGATAAAGCCATATGTATCACTAGCTTGTTTGTCCTTGCGTTGCTGGAGGATCTCTGCATACTGTGGCCTTTCAAATTTGTACAAAAGTTGCGTACCCAGCATGACATTGAAGTATTCCCGCAAACCAGCCACAACTTCCTGAACTGCACTTTCTCTGAAGGAAAACATTGTAGGTGCTTAAAAAAGAGAGAGAGAGGGGGGGGGGGGACAGGGGGCATATGCCCAATTTATCCATACATAAACCTATTTAGTAGGCAGCTACTAAACAGGGAGGTAATACCACCTGGGAAGATATTGGAAGCATAATGTATTGTCTAATGGTAGACCCTGCTGCCATATGACATCAAAAAAATTGTGACCAAGTCCCAAGTTGTTGATCTGACTTTCTGCCTCATTTACACACAATTGCAGTCTCTTTCCATTGACAAGAAACATACATATAGTTTTTCACTCTTGATCTTTTTTTCATTTTTGTATTTCTTTATGGTTCTCTGTTGTTGTTGTTATTATTATTATTATTATTATTATTATTATTATCATCATCATCATCATCATCATTTTATTATTTTTATTTTTGTATTTTTTATTATAAATTTTACTTACCCGAATTATTATTATTATTATTATTATATTTTCACCCCCCAGACCCCGATGTGGGTCAGTGACCTGTGCCCGGGTGGGCTAATCCCCATAAAAAAAAAAAATAATAATAAAAAATAAAAAATAAAATAAAATAAACCAAAAATCTGTCCATCTGTTAAACTGCCTCCCACACACTGCCTCTCAACACCACCTCTCATACCATGATGTGGCTGTTCAAGTTTATCCTAGGTTTTAGAGAACATGAAATAATAGGTCAAATTTCTCAATGATTTAAAGGATATGTGAAATCAGCAATTCAAGATTCATAGGAAAAGGGCTATTTGATAAACACTACACTATAATCAATATACACTACAGACAGGATTGCTAATACTGTACTCACAACAATATATACATAATGGAAGATCAGATTATAAAATCTTATTTTCTAAATGACAGATGGGGATGAGTGACCCAGTGATACCTCTATTCAAAAGCTCATAAATCATCCTGCCCTAGCAGGAGGCTTTACATGTTACATTATCTGAGGCAGACATGGGGCCAAAGCCATTGAAGTCACAAAGTTGAAGCTAAATCTGATGCCATCCATTTAAAAAGACATGGAGCTGAAGCAAACCATTTAAAAAGTCATGAAGCTGAAGCCAAGGTTTTTGAAGACTACACAAAACTTTAACACCACTACTTTTGTTCTATAGTATACAGTATTTCCTTACATGTTGATGGTAATACACATAAGTGACATAGTCTAAGTTGCAGCAAGACTTTGTGGTAAGTTGATTTTACTTTAAGCTGATTGTTCCTGGGGTAAGTTTTGATTCTCCCTATAGACTGAAAAGATTGCTTATACTGTAGAAACAATTTATTTTTACAGACCACATTTTATTCACTTGTCACTATCATTCACTTCATTGTAATGTTTTGAGTGCTAGTGAATTCATTAGAAGAACTGGTGCTCTTGAGAAGCAAAAAAGACCAGCTATTATTATACATCTACAGGATAAAAAGCTATTGTATGGCAAGAAAATAACCAAAATGAAAAGTGAAGTAGAACCATACTTATCCCAGCAAACACCCCAAGCAGTAGATGATTCAACAATGCTAGGCAAGAATAAATGCAGGTGAGGTACAGAAGTGAACTTAATTCTGGGATTTACACTACAGTACTCGGTGAAAGTTTGAGACAACCACTGTCTCAAGGAGTCAGTGCCTTGTTTTAACACCACTAGCAAATTGGGCAAGATGCTGTAAATTGCCTATACACTATAATGAACTAATAAAAGTGCACTATATCACTGGAGCATATCAAGCTCCCTGACCATGGGAGGTGTTCATTTGGAGGTATCCCAAGGCACAAAGTGAGAATTTAAAAGCTATAAATAGTTTTAACAAAATGATTGTTGACCTGTAAGTTATAAGTCATTTTATCACATCTTACTTGTTAGGTGTACTATTTTTGGTATTTGTCTTGGCACGAATATAATCAGCAAGGATAGTGTCGACGGTCACTCGGGCTGGGACAATGGCAAGTTTGCGCTGTCGATTGATGAGGTCCCAGTCATCTACCAGTGCTGGTTTAAGTTCATCCGGAAGCTTAACTCTCACTTCCACTGATGTCATAAACTGATCTTCCTGATGAACAGAGATGTTAATATTGATTACTAACTGAAATCATACAATTCGTGGAGTGGTTATGTCTAGTTTCAAACATTAATTAAAAATGAGTTGTCATAAGGCCATTTCTATTTCATTAATAGATTATCAAGTGTTCCTAAAATATACCGACATTATACTTAAGCCAATTGTGTGATTCATAGAGCAATAGTTATAAAGAGTATTCCTGATATATACTTATGAAGGAAATAAGTTGCTCGGATATATACAGTAATTCATAAAAGCCTCACAAACTTTGTCAAAATCTGTGGCTATACAGTACACAAAGTGAAAATCAGCTGATTAAATTTTTTAGTTTCACATTAATATTTTTTTACTTCACCCTCAAAAAAACAAAACAATTATTGCTGGATGAAACCTTCAGTCACATCGAATGTGTCCTCACTTACAAGACTTTAAAGGTTAATTCTAATATACCATACCTTCACTCTACCGGAAAGTAGTGTATCCAAGGTTGCCCTTAGCACTACTATTAAGAGATAGAAGGGGTGTTCACACCTTCCACAACTTTTGTCTTATAAGCAAAGATCCACATCTAGTCAGTTTGAGATCTCACTAACAAAATACCATTACTGGCCTATGGTCATATTGTATATCATGGATCTTTCTGTTAGAATTTAAGCTTATACTGAGTAAGGAGGGTATCAAATAAGAATTAATTACATTGCAAAAGCAGAATGAGAGAAAGCTAAGACAATACAAAATAGAAATAATGGCAGTACAGCAGAGATCAAAATTGCAGAGAACACTAATACATTACATAAAATCCCACAACCGGTGGTAAAGATACCAGTGGAATTGCTTACGGTCACTATGGGAACCTATTAGTCACTTGGGGTCTTCTTACCATCTGTGATTCAATTTGGGTCATTGTGAATGCCTGAAAGACATTTGGCATTATTATGAGCACTTTTGAGTCACTAGTGTCAGCTTGAGCACTTATGAGTCACTTATTATCCTTATAAATCACTTGTTATTCTGCGCACTCGTGATTCACTTGGGGCCCATCTGTGCACCTCAGTCACAATGAGCTAATGGAGTCACTGGACCTTGACTTAGGCAGTAAGAGGGTTGGGAGTAAAGTTGATGCTGGAGAAAGGTGATCTCTTTCATATGTGAAGATGAGGTAGCAATAGGTAAATACTGTACTATTGTATGCTTTCTACAGTGGACTAACCTTCACTAATAACCTCTGATCTCAACTTGCCTTATAATGACCATAAAAAATGCTGCACTAGTGTTAAAATCAACCTTCATCCACTAGCCAAGTTAAATCAAAATAATCTACCTTCATCAACTGGCTAAGTTAACAATGTAAAATGCATTAACCCTGAAAGTTAAAACATGATCACTAAATGTTGATTGACTTCTGTGATCCTTGAACTTAAACCTGATTATTAAAAAGAAAATCTACAGGCTTTTTGGTCTACCTATAAAGGTTCTGTGTATGAAGTTAACAGAATGCCCAAGGAACTGAAGTTAATAAGTAGACAGTTATTTCTGAAAAAGGACAAACAGATAAACAACTTGACTGTTTCCCCATATACTGTATATCAATTCAGTTGCAGGATAAAATTTTAGAGAATAAGAAGAAGAACAAGGATAAAATGACAATATTGAAAAAGAAATAAAAAGATAATAAATACAGCGGCACATTCAAAAGCTGACACGCCATATATAACAGTTGGCTGTGGATGTGCTATACAGTACAGTATATGGAACGGAACCTCCTAGTGTGTTAAAACTGCCGCACTGAGGGCATACAGTTCTGTACTCGAAATTCAGACCAGCTGCAGTGAATGAAAAAACAAATAAATAAAAATTTGAAGATAAATAAAAGCCCAATCCTGAATCCCAGTGTAGCTTGTAGCCAAGTGGCTATTGTAATACAGCTGCACACTGGACAAACAGGTCTACCTTCCATCCCCCATAATACAAGTCAAGGCTGACTTGTTAACCCATTTGATATACTGATTACCTATCCTCCCCATCATACCATCAATCAAAATACTGTAAAGGAAACCCAGTACAACAGTTACCCTTTAGGCCTGCAGTGGTTCCCAACCCTTTCAACTTCACAGACCAGTGGAGAGAAAAAAAAGAAAAAAAGAACAGACCTGTGATTGTAAATATTTTACAATTTACTTAATCCATATACGGTAGATCCTCAGTATTTAGTGAGACTGAGACCAATAATTAATTACGGCAAAACTGTCGTTTTCACAATATATCGTTATAGAAATTACAATTGGCTAGATGGGCTATGAGACTGGAAATTAAAAAAATGCACCAAAAATATTCCTTTAAAACATTTGTTTGGCTAAGCATTGATAGCAGCTCAGCAGTTAGGCTCCAACGTAGTAAGTACAAGTGTATATAGTACTGGTATATCCCAATCTTCTAATAATCTTTATGAAGCAACGTGGACGATTATAGCTTTAAAATAAAACTTAATATACTGAGATAAAGCAGAGGAACCAACGACATCGTACTCTGTAACCAACTGAGTAAAGATTACAGTGATTCATCATCCACCAAGCAACTCGAGTCAGCTGACAGTTGCCACAGATTAAAGATAAATTATATTTTACCAATTAACTGACTCAAGTATCATTATTAATGATTACAAAGTTTGAAAGTACAGCTACTCCTCGACTTACGACCTACTCGACTTATGCCCACCCGGACATACGACCGCCTCAGTCGGACCAAAAAATTTTCAAATTACGTATTTTCAAGTCCCGACGTCATTGATTGCGCTGTGTACTGACAAAACTTTTGTTTTTAATTCCCTTTAAAATGGCTGGCAAGCTTAAAAGTGAAAGTTTTGTGGTGCTGAGAAGAAAAAGAGACACCCATTTTAGATTTTCTATGTACAGTGAACCCTCACTTTACGAGGTCAATTGAACCCACGGCGGCCCGCGTAAAGTGAGAAACGCGTAAAGTGAACATGACATATGGGATTAATTGAAATAGAGACCGACCCCCAAACTCCACTTTTTCAGACACAATACCTACGTTGTAGTAAAAATAACTTCTTAATTTTATGATGGTATGCACACACAATTAATAATTAAGAGAAATATCAATAATATTAGGGTTTTTTAACACTTACATTAGTAGAAAAGATGGCTGGGCACACGGGGATGGGGGGTTGGTTCCGAGGCAGAGGGCAGATTATTGGCCCTCACCTGTATCACTTGTATCACTATCCACCACAGAGGCTTGCAGGGCCTCTTTGTCAAACCCCTCAAAGTCCATATAAGTCCATATCCTCACTATCACTATCACTGACTTGGGCCGGCTGTGGTGGGTGGCGGGTGAAGAACTCGGTAATGTTTTGATGACTGGGCGACCTTGTGCGCACCCTGCTCGCGCCGCTCTCCGCATAAAAGGGTACACACACCGCGGAAAGTGAGCATTCCGGTTTCGGCAGGGTACCGCGTAAACGTGGAAACGCGTAAAGTGAAACCGCGTAAAGCGGGGGGTTTACTGTATTATTTTCGCATTTTTGACTTACGGCCTGGATTTGGGTCCCTAACCCTGTTGTAAGTCGGGGAGAGACTGTATTATGTTTTACTAAGAAATAATAAATCAAATAAGCAAAGGTAAATAAAAAAATAATAAATCAGATGGACCAGTAAATCTTCAGCTGAATAAATCTCTGGCCCAAGGAAGGATGCTAAGTATCCAAGCCTCCTAGCAGTGCTTTACATGAAAATTGGATTTCAGAATCAACCCTTCACTTCTAATCTAATTCCTACAGCCAGGTGGTTCTCAATCAAAAGCCAGCTAAAGAGGGATGAGAGGCGAGGCCATGGAATAGAGAGATGCACCCCAAGGAGAATCAACCTTGTTTTAGTGCCTTCTATTATGCTTGGAAGGTTTTAATTTGGGGACTCTCAATTACCATAAAGTTAAATAGTGTTTTCCTGAAACCTTTGGGAAATAAGTGGTCATTATCCAGAACACTAATAACCATCAGACTACATGTCCTAATGGAAAGAAGGCGAGTGAAGTCATCCCCTAAATCATGAACCTGGTGCAGATGATGCCAGTCTGTACCTGTACCCTATATGATGAAAAAAAGAATAGAAAATAAAAAGAAATCGAGAATCAAACATTGAAAAATTTGAAGCTTACATTATTTTATTTCATCTTTTCAAACTGCTTTAATGAATGAATTCAAACAATCTTTGCTAATTATCATTCAGGTAAATGTTATGCAAGAAAATGTAAAATAATGCAATGATATTAGGCACAAAAACATTTAATCAACATTAGTATCAAGAGATAAGCCAGCACACTGCCAAACCCCTAAAACCGTCCTATAAAATAACTAGCAAGTCATGTTTAAGGCATAATAGTTCGTATACAATATTGTACAGTATACAGTACTGGTTTTTATGCAAATCCTTAAAACTTATCTCATAAAAGACTGCTTTAAGCCTACTTTCCTCATGTAGTTTATGTGCAGTTACCACCTAAATTGATGGACACTTGAGGGTCATGTGTGAATGGATTATAGACGGTGAATATTTTTAAATAATAAATTATGTAATATCATGGAGATAAAGAAAAACAAAAATAATAATAAGACAAATTCAAGTACTTGTACAGTAAATAGATTTGAGACCTCCCAATCTCCCTTACCTAAAAGATCCTGAATTAGATGCCAAATATTGCTATAGTTAAGGACATTTTATTCATAATTACAGTATCGTAAGTTTCTCAACTGTGTTACAAGCACCTCGTGCTGTATCAATTAGTTCTTCTTCACTATTGAATAATGTATATTATTATATAAGCCGACAAATTACGTGATAAAGAAATATTATACATCAGTAAAAAGTCACATAAATCAATACTGTACTTTGATGTATTGTGAAAATAAAAAGAATAAATGTAACACTCTGCACATTAATGTATCATATACGTACAAGTGCAAAAGTGATAAA